CAATGTCAATACCGAAGAAAATATCAACAACAGTGTCCGCTACATAGATTTTCATGTTAGAAGATTTGTGCATGAAAGCAACTTCGAAGGGATAAACCCATGCAGAATAAGCTACCAGAAGAACCATAAAACTCTCCCAACACCTGCACATGCATAAACCAAAATGAAGAATTTAATCCCCTTAAATTTGTCAACACCAATCATACATAATATTCTCTTCTTGAAGCTAATTATAGTCAAAATCAATACATATGTGCTTCAAACCAAGTTCTATGAAGAATCAAACAATTTAAAGGCTTACTGAGTTAAGAACTTGAAAGTCAAAAACTTCAACAAGCTGATATATATCGTACGTGTACTGTCCAACAAACATTTGACAAAACCAACTTCGAAAAACACACAAGGTTTTTCAAAATCGTGGCTTTACCTGTATCTGGAATCCATTGGTGATATGATCCACCCTTTTGAGTTAACAGGATTCTGGCTTGAAACACCAAGTGGGGGAAGAATGAGCTTAGAAATATTCCTCAGATTGAAAGATGGAGACATATAATCTTCTTCTTTGAGACGATGATCCTCCCCTGAATGATCATGCTCCTGCTCCTGCTTACTGTAACTCTCCTTCAAGCTAGAAGCTAGTTGAGGATTATGGGAACTGAAATTCCCCTCCATTTTACAGAATCAAGACAAGATATTGGTGGATTTTGAGAAAGAGCAAGTGTGTATCTCTGAAGGAGAGAAGGATATAGAGAAAGAGATTAGAGTAGAATGTAAGGAAAAGGTTTGTTAGAGGAGGATAGAATGAAAGGGCAAGCTCAACATAATGAGCAAGAGCATTTATGATGATGACATTATTGTGGATGGATGTGGGAGAATAGGAAGTGAAGCACTAATGATGAATGGTGAGCCAGAAAAATGTGGTCTTGATGGCTAATGCTTGTAATGGTACAACACATTTTGTTGGTTAATGATGTTGTGTTTGTAAGTTGGAAAGTGGTTTTATTGCAGTTATTCTTATTCAGTTTATCTGTGGTTTATCAGAAGTTGGAGATCTGTGTCTAGGAAAAGTTTGATGATAATGTGTTTATGATTTGTATGGTGATTTTGTGAGATCGAAATGGAAAAGTGTGGTACAGAGCAGTGAAACCTCCACTTTTCCTTCTCTCTTCCTCTCTCATATAATTGTAGCATCGTTTTCTGATGTGAAATAAGCTTTGACAGGTAAGAATAATATTATTGACTCAAAGAAAAACACGTACAAAGTTTGTGACCAGCAGGAAATTATCATGCTCAGAATGCAAAACAACCATAAGCTTCAGGTGCAGTGCAAGAATTTCACTGGTTTGTGTCTTGGTTTTAACTGTACAGTAATATTATATGAAACACTTTTACGTTTATTTGATATACAATGTAAAAATAGGACGGTTATAAAAAAAATATTATTTGAGATACATAAATTTTTTTCCGTTGATATTATTTTTTTTTAAAAATATAAAAATTTATATTTTTATGATTATTTTATTCTTGTATTATGTATAAAATAAATGTGAAATTGTGTCATATTATATTTTTTTATGAAAAATAATATGTCAAATGTAAAAAATTTATATATATCAAATTATCATTTTTCTTTTACATGAATAAAACAATATTTTTATTAAATGATGAACTAATACATACTTACCTTCATTTGATATATATTATAAAAATAAAATAGTCATAAAAATAATAAAATTTTATATTTAAAAGAAAATAATATTAAATAAATGTACAAAATTTAATATATTATTACACATTCAAACTTTTGGGTTAGTGTCCACAAATTGGACTTATAGGAGACTTTGAATTGACTTAAATTTTACTTTTACATGGATTTATTTTGACAAATTTCACTTACCCAAAAAGAAATATAGAATGTGAAAATTCTTTAGCCATATTAACATTTAAAGTGTAGATAAAAATAAAGCTTTTTTCTTTATGATGAAATTTTATCTTTTTTTTAAGATTAAATACTATTTTTTTTAGCATGATGTTGTTGAATGATTGTTTAATATTCCACAAGCATGTTTTTTTAATTTTGTGGAAGAAATGTGTTGCATGAAGATGAAGAGAAGTTAGCGACGTAAAGTATATTGGTCCAGTTATTTTGATAAGATGAGAAAACAATATTCGAAGACCAATCACAATTCACAAAATTCAAATTCTCCACTTTCCTTAGCACCTTCTTCCAACTTCACTAACCATCTATCAACACATTTCTTCAAATTAAATTAACAAATCAAATTTATTCTAAATTAAAGCTATGCATATTCACCTCAATATTCTCTTTCAAATGAATTTTTAATTAGTTTTATTCTTATTGTATTTATTATATTTAATAGATAGAGTAATGGTAAGATTAGAGCTGTTAAAATGGGTCACAATCTGCGAGTCAATCCGGTCCACCACATGTTTGAGCTGGGTTGAGTTTGAAAAGATTGTATCTTTTTATGTGAGTCAGATTTAAATCCGGCTCATGCGGGTTGAATCTATGGTGGGTCGGGTTGGCCCACCAACCCACCTACATAATTTTATTTTATTAAAATTTAATTTTAATTTTATAAAAAAATATTTATTATTTTGTTTTTGCTTAAAAAAATTATTTAAGTTCCTTATTTTCAAAATTAATTAAACACCCGTATTAGGAGTGAAATTTTTTTAGATTTAAATTATAGAAAGTTTGCAATTTTTTATATTTAAAAATAGATTGTAATTAAGTGAGTCAATGAACCAACCCGTTTACCTACCAACCCATGATGAGTCAGGCTGGGTTTGAATTTTTCTGGCTCGCTAATAAATGAGACAGGTTGGGTTGACTCACTAAGTGACTAACCCATGGTGGGTTAGGCCGGGTGACCCGTTTTGACAGCTCTAGGTAAAATAATATATTTTTACATTTATTTGACACAGTTAAAAATATTAAATAATTATAAAAAATAAACTTTTATATTTAAAAGAAAAGTTAAAAAAAGAAAAAAATACTTTTAAATAAATATAAAAGTTTTATGTGTATAACAATATTATTTCTCTATCTAATAGTTTTACGAGTCGTAATATAAGATAATTTAAATATTTTGTTTTTTCAAGTTATTTTTAAGATTTCTTAAATTATATTATATCACTTGTGTGAGAGAAAATGAGTATTATTATCTCACTTCTAACTTATTTAACAAATATAATCGTAGAACTAACGAAAAGAATATTAAAAATTTAACATAATTTTATTATTATACTAATAATTTAAAATATGATAATAAGTTAAATAATATTCTTCTTAATATTTTATGTAAAAATATAATAACCAGTCTAATATACTTAAACTTGATTTCAATATTATTTTGATGAATTATATATTAATTTATCTTTTTCACAATTTTGAGGTAATTAATTATTTTATAGTGCCATAAATATATGTAGAAAGTAGTAGTAGTCATTGTATGTTGTGACACACCCACCAATCCAAGGTCGTAAACTAACCGACCATATCTTTTATCACATTCACATCATCTACTAAATTATTCTTTTGACTAAAAAAATATTTATATATATATATATATATATATATATGTAAATTAATGTTTAATAACATATTTAGAAGAAAAATAATAACTTCTATTGTCTTATCAGACATAATTTACATAACTGTATTGTGACCATGTCACATCAAAATATACGATAAGGTACGCCTTATGAAAAATAATATTTTCTTCATTCTTTTTCAAGTATACTTTTCTTTGAAATAAATATTCTAATTTATTTATTCCTTTATTAATATTATTTTCATCTATTGCGTAATTTTTAAAATAATATTTTATCACGAAATGTAAACAGATTATTGTACTTTTAAGTTAAGAACAAAACACGAAATTTGGGACATGTAATTTTAATCTGACAACAAGGATCTTGTTCTGTATTAAGTATTAAATTATGTCCAAAAAAAACAACAACTAGGTGAGGAACTAAACTAAATATAAAATATAATAAACTTGATAAACAAATTATTCTTATCTTTACGTATTTTCGTCGTATTAATGATTTTGATTAATTAAAAAAAGATAAGAGCATTTCAGTGATCCATTGATTCAAAGACACGCTATGATTAGTTTTGCCGACAACATGTAATAAATTGTATGTTAACTCTTCGATGAAAATAAAGTTGCTCATTCATTTTTGGTTATGCTGACTCTGTCAATGCATGTTGGAACTAGTAAAAACATTAAATAAATTATTAAATATTTTTATTTAGTTAAGAATAATTATGAGGCGGCAGACGTGTATTTTTATGAGAGTAAAATATTACGTAGTATGTTCAAATAAAACAAAAAAAGTGTGGCCCTTGAACTTAATGCATACACCTACCCTTGTTTTAAATGATATTATGGAATCGTTAGTATATATTTCATATCATATTTATTAATTTAGTAATGACATAAAAAACAGCTATTTCACATACTCTGTTTTTCTTCTCAATTGTCACTCAGAGCTCCTCTCATTTATTATTATTATTATTATTATTATTATTATTATTATTATTATTATTATTATTATTATTATTAACGTAAATGCAAGTGTGATATATTTTTTAAATATTTATAATATATTGTATTATGAATTAATAATTTTAGGAATTTTAAGATGGAATTTAAATAACGTATTTTTTAACTATTTATAATATATTGTATTATGAATTAATATTTGTAGTAATTTTAAGATGGAATTTAAATAAATATAAGTAGGTTTTAACTTAGAAATAAGTAATACATGTGTTGAACATATTTTTTAAGATGGTTGAATTAATAATATTTATAATTTTATGGTAATATGAAATTTAAAGAAATTTAAGTTTGTTGAATTAATAATACAAATATAAATGTGAGGAATAAACAAAAAATGAATGGAGAAAAAAAAAGGAAAAATATAACTATTTCACAAAAAGATTTACAAGGAAGACAGAAATAATCCCTAAAAGAAAAAGAAAATAAAAAAGAGGTCAGAGTATGTCAGGCATTTACGATCCAAAACTAATTCCCAAATAACAAAAGTGGGTGTGAGAAACACGGAACAAAAATGGCTAATCAGTCGTCACCGTCACCGTCGCCGTCACCCCCACGGCGGAGAACTCCTCCACCAACTCCTGTACTCTCTTGTTCTCTCTGATTATGTTAACGTCCATAGTGATTCAATTTGATTCTGATATGTGGAAACGAAACAGCAGCAGTACGTGGAGGTTAATTGCGCAAGTTCTGGAATGAAACGGCGGTTCGCGATGGGGACCGACGCGGGGTTTGCGGTGGCACTTATCAATCGGAAGTTGAAGGGAAAGGTGGTGCCTGCGTCGCACGTAGAAGCAGTGAAGGATGGAGAAGAACCCATCGCATTTGGCCCCACATCATTTCTTTCTGACTTTGGTGATGGTTGGAAACTCCAAACTGTAACCCTCACTGATCTTTCTTCAGGCAAGTACAGTAGGCTCTTTGTTTCTTAGGACCTCGCTTACCAAACATTGATGTTGCAATGATAAATTTAGTTTATGAGAATTACCTTTTTATTCTTATTTTTCTCTTCTAAAGTATTTTCGGAAAAGTTTTTCCTACATGTTTTAAGTAGATTTTCAGAAAATTATTCAGTTATTTGTTCTCCAAGCTCAACAAAATGAAAAAGGAAGATACCAAGTATATGATGTTATTGATATCGCTAACGTGCATCCTAAAAAACAAAAATATTGACCTAAAATCGAGTGTTTCTCAAATATGACTGCTTTATTTATATTAAAAAAATAATATTAATATAATAAATAAAGAAGATTTGATTTTTCTAGTAATAAAAATATCATATTTTATGGTTATATATATATATATATATATATATATATATAATCTAGCAATACTCGTGATTATATAAGATCATTTCATTATTTCTATAATTATAATATTCTCCTTCAAGTTTATGTATCTAACTTATTGCAAATATAACCATTAAGTGGTTCTCTTGGAGACTTGGTGGATACGTTTGGTCTTTCATGAAAGATAGGATTACATACGATATGTAATGTTGTTGTAATGAAAGACAGGATTACAAACAATATGTAATGTTGTCACATACAAGGTGCATTCGGAAATTTCTCCAAATTTAAGTTTTATGAGTTGTTTTAGCCACATTAGTTCACAACATTTTGCACTTGACTTTACCACAACATTTTGTTTCTTATTTTTTTCCAAATATTAAATTACATCCAACAGGAACACAATATCTTGAATTCGGGTGCCTACCACTTGGTCACCATGCTCAGTTGTCAGAATACCCAACAATGAGTATTTTCCATATTTTCATAAATGATTCATTTTCTAGGAGCCTTCTTAATACAGTTTAGGATCCGTACAACTACATCTCAATGATGTTGACAAGGAGAGTTTAAAAATTGACTTACCACACTCACTTTGCAAAGTGATGTCAGGATGAGTCATAATGAGGTAATTAGGATCAACTAACATTCTGTACCTTGCAGGATCAGAAAAAGGTTCTCCTGAGTCAATTACAAATGTAATATTTGGATCCATTGGTGTTCTTCAGGCTTAGCATTTATCATTCTTGTTTCTTCTGGAATGTCTAGAGCATGTTTTCATTGAGATATCATCAAACCATTTTTGAATTGTGCTACTTCTAGACCAAGAAAATACCTAAAGTGTCCAAGATCTTTGTTTGGAACTTTTGAGCAATATATTGTTTTAATTATGCAATACCCTCCTTGTCATTACCTGTGATGACAATGTCATCCACATATACAATGAGAGAAATAGATTCTTGGAGAGAATAACAATAGAACAAAGAATGATCAACATCACCCTGTCATCACTTCGTAACATTCCAACTCCTAAGTACCACTACTTTGAAGGGCACACATGTCATCAATCATTGGTTGCCACCACTCTACGTGAGATAAAACTTCACCTGGAGACATAGGAAAAGGAATAGAAGATAACGAGGACAAAATACCTATGATGACTGAGGTTTGTATAGTAGGCAGAAGGGTTATAAGTATAATACCTTTACGAATTACAATAGGCCCATCATTTTCCGATGAAAATGGATTCAGTACGGGAAATGGTGTCAAGGAAGGATTAGGCATGACCTCCATTATATCATTATCAAGATGGATCCCGTACTAGAATATCAGTAGGTTGTGAGTCACATGGATATACCAGTAGCAGAAGAAGCACTTTAGTTATGGCAGAGTCATCTGGTAGTGATGGAAGAAGATTGACAATGTTAGGAAAGAGATTAAATATGGTGTTATTAGAATAACAAGTCATATAATCTAAATATTCTTGATTATATAAGATCAACTCCTTACTTTTATAATTATAACCATATTTCTAATTATATTGGACCAATTCCTTATTTCTATAACTATAACAGAGTATTTGGGTGAGCATTAGCAAAATTTATTTTGAATGAAATTGATTTCGGTTAAAGTTGATTTTTAAGTGAAGCTATTCTTGTTAGGGTCTAAAAGCAGGTTAGTAGTATTTGTAACTAAAAGAGACGTAGTGTCATTTCATAAGAACGAGTTAAAAGATTTTGCATGTAAAACAAAATTTAACCCGAGGAATGTGGAAAGCAATTTATCATGTCAGTATGTTTTAATTTTATGAATGGGTATGGTTGTAAAAAGAATGTATAATTATTTAAACGTTCTGTTTTGTTGTTTTCAGAAGTGAGGAATGGACAATTTCAACAGATGAGAATGCAGGCACCGGGGCTAGTAAGTTTATTTTTAAACTGAAGGAAGTACTATGTAAATTTTGCCCATATATATATATATTTATATTACACATTATTCTTAGACAACAATATATATAGGTCATCAGAACACTGTTACAATAGCAAAACCTAAGATGCAATTGTTATAATATAACTTAAAACTAATACTAACTGATTAATAGCAGCTGACAATCAGTCGTCTGCTGTACAATAGCTGGGGTGTTTTATACAGACCAGTATACACTAATATTCCTCTCTCAAGCTCAGGTAGGATGAGATAATTTGCTTTTTAATTCCAGAAACCGAGATTGACTTCTAATTCCAGTTTATTGGTAGGAGCTAGTGTGGCAGAAACTTGAAGCTTAGGAGACTGTTTCAATTGACGAGATTTATGTGGGAGCTACAGTATGGGTAAACTATTCAACTGCAGTAGAGGTGGTCACAACCGTTTGCTTTTTGTGCTACCAGGAGATTAGATTAGGCCAAAGCAAAATGACACTGTAGGTTGACCAGTGATCATTGTAATTGGAAGCCCAGTCAGTGTCTCAGTAACATTGAATTTGGAGAGTAGTGAGTAGATTCTGGCTGTAAATGTTAAGCAATGGCGAAATTGAAACTGGGAGATATCTAAGGACCCTCTTAATTGCTTCTTAGTGTGATTCTAGGGGTTGGAGAAAAAAATTTAAGACTGTTAGTGGTTTAGTCAATTTCTGATCTTTCATTGATTGCATATTGTAGCTGTCAATAGCCACGCAAAGTAGGATCAGAAACATAATACAATCCTATTTTGGAATTCTTTTGCCCCAAATCAATGGAGTTGACATACTATTAGAATTGGTCATACTGGATTTAGTAGAAGAAGATCGTGAATATATTACTGAGTAGTAGAGAGCCATCAGAAAGTCGAGTAACTTCAATGCCTAAAAGTAATCAAGCTGGCCAAGTTTTTTTAGGGCGAAGATCAAATTCATTGAGTGATCAATTTTTGAATTAAAAAAGGAGAGTTCCCTGTGAAAATGATACTATCTAAGTAAACCAAGATACTATGACGTACTTCTTGTTTTTCTTGATCTTTTTCTTGCTTCTTTCTGCTGCAAGCTTCTATTATTACGAACAATAAGGTACATAAGATGTAATCGATTAGCGATTTTTGTTTACCCTTGTAGTATCGTCTGATACTCCCAGAAGGCTTCATCTAACCTTGTAGAATCCATCTTCTTTGAGGACGTCATCTAGCATGATCTTTGATAGGTTTGATATATCGTATAAAAGAAGCAAAAGGTAAGGTAGCTTGTACAGCCGTATCTGAACTATTTTAAATACTTCCAGGAGAGTTGGGAGGAGAACCTTTTTGCTAGAAGAAAAATAGAAGGATAGTTGGAGAGTGAGGTTCTCTCGACTAACCTCTGATTGTATTGTGTACTGCAGTTTTCTTCTTATTCCTTGACTCCATTTCTCCTCATTTTGGACTTAAGGAGGGCAACAAAATTCAAGATCGTATATTTTCTTTCCTATTCTAATATCAGTTTTATCAACTGGTATTTAGAACAACGATCTTGGCATTGTGGTGCAATTTGAGGGGTATGGTGAACACGAATATGGAGTCAAGAATGGATGGGTATGAATGGATGTTGCAAGAAGCTATTCAATGGCAGAGAGAAAGCTGAGAACAATCTCTTGACAGCATATATAGAGCATTTTGAAAAAAATGAAACTTCGTGTTTAAGACTCAGTGAGAAATTTCATTAAGGATAACGCAATACAGAGAGGTCTATATAGGAAGAGAATGAGTGGCTCCCAACCACACTGCTACAATACCAATGCCTAAAAACAAACGCTACCGTTAGAACTACTACTAACCGTGCAGATCAGTATACACTAATAGGAGAGAACAAAATACTAAACATATATTTAACTAAATGTAATGAAAATTGTACCTTAATCAAATTATTTAAAAGCAAACATCTATTTTACCTTAATCAAATTATTTAAAATCAAAAGTTATTTTCCTCTTATTTGACTTTCTTATCCCAGGTTGCAGGTGTCCCGGGTACTGCAAGGAGCGTATCCAATCCAATCACCTTTGTATATATTGTTAAAATCATGTTTGCTTTTATTTTGATATTTGTTCTTGGTGCAATTTTTACTTTGTTTCTCGATAACCTTCCTGCATTCATACTTTTTCTCAAGTCAATCTAGTGCACTTTTATGCTTATGTATGTATGCATTAAATAAAGGGCTGCTCAATCAATCAGCCTTTTTGTTAAGTACTTGAATTCAAACTATTTAATATTTCATATTAGCTGAGCTAATGATTTTTAAATGCTGAGTATTTAAATATTAATCAGCCTCAAGTTCTTTAATCCATGCATGTATCTTCCCACAGATTGACATATTTGCTATAAGCAACACTAAAACAAGCCCTCTAACTTGGCATCATCATTCCAAAGGTAGAAGTGAAACTACTTCCTGATAGGCTCTGTAAACCGGGTACCTTAAATCTCAAAAAATATTTGAATAAACTTATATTTGAAGGTAGGAAACATAATGGCAAAAACTAGTGTGCAGGAACCATAGTGTTGCATTGTCCTCTAACTTTAATTCTTCTTGCACAGTGTGTTTCCTACCTCTCACATCATGGAACCAGTGTGTAGGAAGAATTTGCCCAATGGATGTTAGAAGGAGGCACTTCCATGATTTGAGAGGTGTCCATTAAGCTCTTCTGGTGCATTCTTTTCTGTTTTACTTCAAGATTTAAATTTAAATTATGGTGAGAAAAGATGGCAGCAACCAACCTCCAAGTCTACTTTACACATTCAGTTGCTGGCCTATCTTCCTCAAACCAAATTGAGCACCGATACTCCAGAATGCATACATTTTTTTCCCTAAGGTTTGGATTATTTTTTAATGCCTCAAGAATTTGTAACTTTTGAAATTTGAAATTTTTTCAGCCATCTAGTTGAGTTTAATAGCTATTAATTTTGAAAGCTGACTAATTCTATTAAAAAGCATCAAATCAATTGTTCAAAATAGAAAGGATCAAGAAAATATATGTACTTGGAAATGATTTTGCTAGTGCACATGCCTATTCGAAGCAGTCACAATTTTTTAAGACTAAATAAACATTTTGTAATGACTAAAATAAAATTACACTCTTAATTACATCACTAAGCATCAAAAGGCCTCTTAAAAATGTGTTAGAATCCTCCAGATTGTCAATGGGTAGCACATTTCTATCTTGTCATTCTGAGCGTGATAATGTTGAGAAATTATCTATAACTCAAATGCAAAGTCACAAACATCCTTCAGTTGGTCTCATTTTGTTTGTTGGATCCATATCATCTCATCTCATTGTTTAGTTGGGTCCATGTCACTTCCTCTCATTTGATCACTTTCCCACGAGGATTTCAACTGTCAGACCCATGATCACAGATCAAAAATTAAATAAAAATCTGAGAATGCTTTATCTATATTGTCCCCCCAAAAGAACAAGCATTCTACAACTTTCAGAAGAACGGCATAAATTCAAAAATATAGCCTTGGACATGGCCACCTCAAGATCACGTCAAAAGCAACAGCCATGATAAAACAACCCAGGTGAACTAGTTTATTTGAAGTTAAGCTGTTTACGATATCATCATGGCTTTGATATCATCTACCCTAAAGATTGATGTTGATAAAAATGGTAATATTATCAGATAAACAATTTGCAATAACCCTCATTCATTACTAAATATGCAACTGCCATAGAAAATCCTTTGTAATTTGGTCGAATGTTATAGTTTAACATCATTGCACTCAAATGAACAAAAATCTCCTTGTCTCTATCTGATTACAGCGAAAAAAAGTTAACCAAACACTACTTTTCAATCTTACACAATTCAACAACTAACATAACAATCTCTTTAAGTGAATTACCGATTCAAAATAAGCGGCATTTCATCTCCGCTCAAGGTTTTACAGAAAAATGGAAAACATTTTGTTCCGAAAAGTTTACAGAATAAAATTAGTCATTTTGAAAAATTGAGGGGATAGAAGAAATTATGGGGTACAGGATCCCCTGCATTGAAAAACTTTATTCTTGAAGAGAACAAAAGAAAAGGGAGAAGGGGGTTGGTTACCGAGGTATAGACGGTGGCATTTGTTGCCAATCATGTCCGCCTTAAATAATGCATTTACGTCGGAATTAAAATTCACTAACATTTCTCGAATCAAAATTTTCTTTATGATCCTAAAACTGGTCAACAGAGAAGGCAAATCTTCATTGCATTCCACTGTTGTTAATTGTGTTTGGTGGAATGGAAATATACCAGTCGGGCACGAAAGATATGTCATTTGGGAGCCAAATTGCATCAACGATCACATTCTTTTTGGAACTTTGACTTGCACAAAATGTCTGTCTGTCATGTTCACAACTCGGCCTTGGATTCCAAATCCTCCTTCAATGCATCTTCAATAATCAAATCCTTTGATTGATCAGGGGATGGAAACGGTTCCAGATCGTCACCTAAGATTTTTGCAGTGAATTTACTCGCCTCCGAGTCAAGGTCCGGCCACTCGGATACTATTCGTCTGGCACCCTAAAAGTCAAAGTGGAGAGGTGAGTTAAAAATGATGGAATCAAGGATCTGTGCAGCAAATTTACAACATAAAGTATTTTCACCTGAAGTTTGGGTTCTTTTGTCATGGGATTGTTGCACAGATCAATTGTTTTCGCCCTTGATTTTGTAGCATTTCCACACCATGACTCACACCAAAGCCATTCTTGTGGCAGAGAGAAAATGGGCACAACATGCTGAGCATAATTAGGAAGATCCTGAACCAGAAGAGTACAAATTTCAGCACATTGGAAGTAAATTAAAGCGCGTTCATATCAATAAAGGAACATAAAACCACATCAAAGAAAAACGTACAACTTAATCACAGTAAACAAGGGCCTACAACTTTATTTAAAGGTGAAGACAAACATAGAAGCTATAATGGTTTTCTTAAAGTTCACAAAAGGTACAGCATGCTCACATTCCAAAAAGAACAAGATTAAGTTATAATTGGAAAAGGCATCAGCATCTACGTTTAAGTTAAATTGCTATTCCAAGACCCTCATTTAACAGCTAACAATTTTAGGTTAGGTTTCTTTTTCTGCGTGGTAGTAGAGCTTTAGCGACTAATTGGTTTAGGGATTGAACCTCAATGCCGTCAATCTTACAAAGTTTCAGTTTAAAGCATAATCAATATTTTTCAGTATAGAAAAGCAGTCATTTACCATGAACTGAGATCTCACATGTCGAGTCATTTATATGTTGGAATTATACAAACCATTCAACTATACTTCATCTTGTAAGTTCAAGTGACTTTTCCACAACTAAATAATGAAAAAAGAGCTACCGTACTGACTCAAAACTCTAACCTGATCCAAGTTGGCAAGACTATTTGGATCCTTGCTAAGGGTTTCATAGAAAACTCTAAGATTATCCCCAGCTGCAGTCTCTCGGAACTTCTTCAAATCAACAACATATAAAGCACTGCAAACAAAAATGGAAGCAACAATCAGAGAACTGAAATAACTCCAACTTTATTCATAAAAGATTCAAGATGTACACCAACCTAATATGGTATGGTTTCCCCCTCAAATGATCCTTCCAGAAACCCTATACCACAAGGTCAACATAGAAGTTAGCATCATATGCTGCATCTAACCCAAGAATTCATGTACGATGACTAGAAATACAAATAATATCAAAGCGATTGAAATTCAACAATGGTATTTACTTGTCTCCAAAACCGATAGCCATCCATTTCCTTATTGTTATCACAAAATGGAGTATATGCCAGGGGTTTTCCTTTTATATCCATGTCATAAAGTTCTCCCATGTCAGTCCTAACAACCTGATCAGCATCCACAAAAATGACCTGCAAAAGACATTGTGTGGTGCATGTAACACCAAGACATAAAGATTGCAGAAGACAATAAAACAAAATCGTGAGATTTGAAGTTGAAGAAGAAAGTCATGATACCTTCTCTAAGGAAAGGGGGAAAATGACATCCAAGAACAAAATTTTATATGCCCAAATTATTCGCTGTTTTTCCTTCTGCTTATGCAACCATGTAGGCCATTTGTAAGTGATTAGTTCACATTCAAAACCATACTCTTGAGCCATGCGAGGAATCAGATCCTGTTTGTTAAGACATAAGCAAATAGTTTAAGGAGCAAACTCATTAGTTCCATTTTAAAGCTCCTATATACAAATAATGAAAACATTGAGGCAAGTGATGGGTAAATTTATAACCTTAAAAGGAGGAGAGAGGTAGTTCTTTATGAACCAGAATTTTACTGGGCGATGTGTATTCTTCAGAACACTTAGAATCATAATCTTTAGAAAGCGTTCATATCTGGCAAAATACATGAACATAAAAACAAAGGTGAAGATTGCATTTGTGATGATACAAAGGAAATAACTACATCAACAACAGTAATCTTGTTCCACTAGGTTATAAATGCCTCTATCCACGTAGAGAAGAAGGACAAAAAAAGTTATGGGAGATATAAGTTATTTTCACACCATCAGACAAACCTCCCACCACCTATGTCTGTAAGATAGGGAGATGGGGTAGAAAAAATTCATAAAGGAGCAGAAAACAGGCCAAGTTTTATCACATGAAATTGATGCCATGATACATTTTGGCAAGCAAGATACACGTGACAATTCCATCAATATACCTTAAGAGGTTTTGGATCAATGAAAACATTTCTTAATTTTCAAAATTCAAAGAAAACGGAAACGGAATCAACAGGTGCCTTTCATCCATAATTAAAAGCAAATTATAATATCAAGTTAATATAAGAGAACCACTTACAGGTGTCCAGAAGCAATTGAGAAGATGTTAATAGTTTTTCCACGACGTCCACCCTTTACTTTGTCCTATGATGCAAAAAGGTCAGTCAAACTCTGGGAGTAATGGAGTAAATAGAAGCCGAAAGTGCAAAAGGGAAGGCAACCAGAAAGTTAAAAAATACTTCAAAATTTACCATTTATGTTGATGATATATGCGATGGATTGGACACATTAGCAAGGCTAGTAGCAGTGACGGGATGGGGACATCCAAAAAACATGTAAGGGATGACTCAATAAACAAACATTAACATATTTATCAAGAATTTCGATATTTTCTTATTCTATATAGGAATAAATTAAAGACAAAAGACTTTTGAAATCGAGGAATAAATTATAAAAATAAATTAACTATTAATTTCATTCGATCTATCAAAATTTAAATGAACAAACTTCAGACTTAAAAAAGTTTTTGTAATAACAACTAGAAAAGTATTCAATCACAAATACAACACAAATCAGATCAAATTTTTATAACACATTACCGGGTTTGTTGTTAGATGTGTTCTTGAGAATTTCTAAATGATATTTTGAAGGAAACCAAATAAGAGCAAATCAATCGGTTCAAAAGGGACAGGATGAAGAAATAGGTAAAAAAACTCACTGTAGCATCATTGGTTTCAGTAATTTTGGGTTGTTCATTACTACTAATGAAACCAGAGGCCCATTTCAATAAATTAGAATTCCAGCCACTTCCCTGCAAAAAAACAATGAAGAAATATGTGAGGATTTGAACTTGCTTTTGCATTTAAAGGATAACGTTTTCTTTCTTTTACTTTGACACAAAAATAACTTTCAGATAACAGATTTTAAATGCAAGCACTCACTTTCTTCGTTTCTTGCAGATCCTCCTCCTCATCATCAGAAACAAGTAACTTCTCATGTTCCCTGCCCTTTCTTTTCACGACATCCATATGAACTACTTTACCCCGTAAATCATTAATAGTAATGAGTTTCGATGACTGTTTGTTCTCAATTCCATCAGCACCTCCCTTCAAAACATACAGCTCAGAACTTCTACCAGGAGCAAGCTGCAAGAACCAAACCCCAGGAGAGACTTTTATTTGCCAATATCCAAGATTAGCCATCACAATGGTATCAAATATATGGGGTGTAGTTTTGGTTCCAAGAATAAGCTGAAGACCTCGAGGAGGATCATGATCTTTCTCAGAGCAATGACCTAATATATGAACAATTGAAAAGAACAATGCATTCTTAGAATGTACTACTTAACAATTAATGCTTTATTATGATTATATAAATAAACAAAATGCAATTTTACCTGTGAGGACAAGAGCTTCAAGCTCAAAAACTGCTTGCAATGTTCTTGTGTCAACAAGGTTCTCAAGCAGAATGTTATCCAGGTCATGACTGCAGCATGACAAACCATAAAGAAAGTTAAATTTCACAAAAGTGGTGTTAAGAGATATGATTTGATTACATCAAATAGGAAGACATGATATGATTTGGTAGGTAAATATCTTACTATATTTTTCATTATTAGATATTGATTTCATTCATTACTATTATTATCTCTTTATTATAAAAAAAAATACTTGTGTACACCCAATACACGGAATTCATTATATTCCTTCTCGATTTTTCCATTATATTCCTTCTCGATTTTTCTCTCCTTAATATGGTACCATCCTACGTGACCTGTTTTGTCATTTGTCCTTTCAACAAACATTCATAGCTTAAGCCAACTATGAACCAAGTCAAATTTAGAATCTTTAGATGCAGTGGCATAAATTTATTCTTCTTTGCAGTATACAGCATTTTAAAGAAGATAAGTGTTTATTCAAATTAATCACATGCTCTTATATTATTGAGGATAAGGGTCTGTTCAGGTAAAGTATACCATCAAACATGTCTAGAGCAGTTTAACATAAAAGTCATTAAAGCAGAGAATAAAGGTGAATTAAAATTTAAAAGAGGGAGACGAATGTGATTTACTCCAAATCTGTCATTTACCTTTCCCTACTTCCACACAATGAATAGGAAAAAAAGGAGAATCAAGAAATCAGTAAATTAGCATATAGTCATGTACATATGAAGTAATTCATGAGCCACTACCAACTAGCTCAATCTTATAGGGTAATGTATAGGACCAACTCTCCTAAATTGTTTAGTTGTTAGGTGGAGGCTCGGGAATGATTTAATATCCAATGGATGTTAAAGAAAATACATACACAGCAATAACAGGCTCAACAAGCCAAGGTTCTGGAACATCAAGATTCATGGTGAGTGTCTTAGATAATGGCATGTTAGCAAAAAATGCTTTTGGGCCATTGATTGAAGAGTCAGCACTGCTAAAATCATCCTGCAAAAGTGATAAAACCTAAGAACCCAAACCTCAAATGTAATCTGGAATTAACTACAAGCCGTAAGTGCAATATATACCATTGATGGTACTACGTATCTGTAGTAGTTCTTCAGAGGAAGATCAGCAAGCGAACTCTGAAATGAAATGAAAACGACATTCAAAATCAGTTCATTATGTGATCAGCAAACTAAGAAAATATAGCTAACTGTACAAATGAGACATTTTTTATTATAAATCTAAGTCAAAGGATCAATATAAGCCAAATGTAGAGCAATGACAGGAGGTTTATGATACCTGTACTCTTAAAAGGAATACAATTGTTTCATGAGACAAATAAGTTTCAACCATATTGCAAAAAACTCAACTCTCATCAACTAGAGATAGTGTCAACATACAATATAAAAGTGGAGACTCACCTTTATCATCTTGAGGTAGACCTAAAGCACATTCTAACATAGATCCATTAAAACTCACCATATTATACACGTATAAAGCCCCAATAGTGTTGAATGTGAGGGGAGTATTAGGAAAAACCCAAGTTCCACATTAGATAAAGATAGTGCCAAAATATAATATGTAAATGCATTCAATCCTCCCTTACAAACCACTTTCTTAAGGTTAAGTTTAGGCTAAACTCACTTTCAAAGACACTACAACTACAACTGTGAAGTCTTCAAAGGGTAATATGTATATAGTATTATCTCCATGATTGGAATAAAGGAAAAATATTATACTCTTAATTCAAATTGTATTTTCCAAATTTCATATAATAAAATAGGTTATTACAATTACGAGCTAACAAATTTCCAATGTAGAATAAATAGCTATTTTTGCAAGTTTATACGGACATAAATGCATAAAGGAGTAAGCAAAATCGTAATACCAGTTTGGGTAGAAATAGAAATGCAAAAAAGGTCAACCGAAAAGATCAGACATAAAACATAATAATAGATGACCTTGGACCTTAGTAAAACCAGATTTAAGGGGGTCTCAGCTTACTAACCACACCAACAACACTTGCTTTTGCATGCTCAAATTCCAGATGATAGAAAGAGACAAAATATTACAATTCCTTTTTTCTATATTATTTCTATTCAAAAGGCCTAAGAAGACAATTAAAGAAGGAATAAGCTGCAGAACAGAAAACCAAAATGTATAAAAAATAAAAGTGGATATAGAACTAGAGATATCAACAAACCAATGGATTCAAAACAATCCTCATGCTGGGTTGAATGTATTTCCACAAAACTCTTAGAATTCCAGACAACTTCTGACTGGTTGGACTTAAAGGATCGAGACAAGCATCAATGTGAATGCTAGAATTTTCATTATGTAGAATGATAGCACTGCACAAAACAACAGTATTAAACTATTAAAATTATATAATTATACCGTCTAAATTTAAGTCAGCAATCCAGACATGAATAAACATTTAAAGAATAATAAATTCAAGCAGAACAACAAGCCTTTAATATTCTACTCATAATTCTATCTAATTTGGTATATCGTAACTAAAAAAAATTACCTATGTTTGTCATTCAAAATCTCAAAACGGGCACTTTCAGAACTTCGCTCCCTTGTAGCCATTGAAGAGGATACAGCCATGAGAATATCACTAATGAATTTGCTACAAAAGTACACAAGGAAAGATTAAAGAATTGTCATATTTTCTGAACATAGATAAAGATTGGATAAATAATATTTGCAAACTTTCTATCAATGACTGAAAAAGAAAACGAAGTAATAATAATAATGCTTCATGAACTTCTGTAAGGATTTCTCAAAACAATTGAACAAAATCTTAGTATATGAACAAATAGTTTCAGATATAAAACATCTAACTGAGGACTGCAAAGAAGACAGACTAAAAATGGGTAACAGTCAAGCAAAGTGTTGCTAAACTTGCACTTGTTCTAAACTACAATTTCCCTCCTAATGATGGAATCACATTATGTTTGTTTCTCACTCGTGCATATAGCTCAGAAGACCACACAAGTGAAATTTACATATGGTCCCCATATGTAGTCAGATGTACTTATCAATGAATATAGGTGGTAGAGATGTTTTATGTAGAAGTCTGGTTAAAGTTTATTTATATGTCACTGCATTGCATATAAATACACTATAACTAGATAGTCCTTGTTTATTTACTCTTTTGGAGATATGAAAGCAACACTTTTAGGTACCTCGGGTACCACTATTATAATTATTATTATTATTATTTATTATTACTATCATTATTATTACTATTATATAATATCCTTCTGAGCAATAAAAAACATAAGGCCCTCAGAATGCTGATCCGGATAACCTTTATGTGATCAGAACTGGGGTATGATTATTTATATAGAGAAAATAACTGGTGTAATGTAATCCACATAGTCATATACTAAGAAACACTCACTTTCTTCAATACCAGGCAAAATGTAAAATGAAAGTTTGTGATGGGAGGATGATAAATGCAACACGAAGCAATAACCATAGAAAACAGATCCAAAATAGATAGTGAAAAGATCAAGGAACCTTGTCAACATGTCAGGGTCAACATGCTGCCACTTTACTTCTTCAATGATTTCCAAAATGTGCTTTGTTCTCTGCTTAAACTCTATTGATTCAAGAAGAAGCAGATCAGCACTCAAAAATGTGCTTTCATCAATAGGGTAAGTTACCTATAACACAAATGCTAAAGGTTAACCCAGGATAACAGACAGATCTTATCATTGATGAAAAATTAATCAAACTCAAATATCATGGACGGACACCATAGAAACTGAGTACTCTATGAAATAATCAGAGACCAAGCAATCTTACCCTTCCATTAGTAAAGACTGCATTAACATCAGATTCAGACCCAAGTAGTCTATGCAAGAAAATTCCCACCTGACAGCAAGAAATTTCATTAAAGGATTATATGGTTACCAAAGAAAAATAGCCAGCAAAAGGCTGATATGGACTCTAGAACAGTGGAAAAACAGATGAAAGGGAGAAAGAGAAGCATAAAACGATTTCTGAAAGGTACTACAATCAAATGAATATATGTAAAGGTAAGATGTGACAGAAGCGTGGATGGGTCGGAGTACCAAAATGTGATTTTTTCAATGGGAAAGCAACCAGAAATACCTTGTTTAAATGCCTTCTTACTTCATCAGCAGAAAATTTTAGAAGGGCAGATCTATAACTCTCAGATGGTAACCCATTGGCCTCAGCAAGCTCACAGACCTTATCAATAAATTTTTGAGGGCCTTCAACTTCCACAGCTGGTTCAAGGAAGTACTTTTGCTTATAGAGTAAGCACAACTGATCCAAGAAGTCTAACACATTGTTCTTATGACTGCATAAAACCCAATCATTCACACAATATATATAAAACCACACTTCAACTTCAAAAAACAATTTCTAAAACTACAGAATCAAGATACTTATAAATCAACCAATTAAATGCCATCTAATTTTACAATGAAAAGACAAACCTATATGAAGATGAAGTGATTTCAAAAACCTTCACAAAAAGGAGGCTTAATGAACTTGTACTCCAATTTCCACTAAATAGAAGACCTATACGAGCATCTTTGGACCCTTCTCTCTGTTGCATAATGAGAAAATAAAAAAAATGTTCAGATTTAGAAGTACTAAATGGGTAGGTCCAACTGCTGGTGCGTTACGAAACAAGGCCTAAAAGTAAGAATGTTCAACAGAAATGCAAATCCATATTAACCAGATAACTTAAGCCTTGATGAAGTAAATGCAACCCAATCCCTGAAGTGATATCAACAGCAAGAAGATGTGTCACGGGCTTCAAATCATCCATTGCTGGGTTGCATACAAACAATCCACTTGTTAAGACAAAAAGAAGAATGTAAGAATGAAACTATTGATTTCTAACACATCAACCACTTACTTCCAGGAGAGTGCAAGTACTCAATGTCATTCAGTATAGATTCCTCTCCCAAAAGAAATGCAGACAGAGATATGAACCTTGGTTTAGTATCAGAAATAATCTACACCAAATACATGTTGATTAGTGAAATATCATTATACAAGTTTGCCATAAGTTGCAAATTATCAATATACTATACCCGAGGATTATAACGTTGAATACCAGCTTCTGACAGAAACTTGGCTAACACATCAGTGTGAGCTTTTATTTGTCCAAAGTATACCTGCTCCTGTATTCTCTGAGTCTCATCATTCAAGGCATTTAGTAAGGCATCCTGGTAAAAGAAATTGCAAATATATAAGTGGCAGAAAAACTCACTTTATTAACACTCTATTGACACATTGACATCAATTATAGTTAATAATGAAAAGTGAGTGCTTGAAACAAATGTTGAGCTCCCAAAGTAGATGCAAAGTTAAATAAGACATCAGGCACACTACTAAAATATATTTAAAATTATAGAGTAATATGGCAGTGGTTAATTATTAGCACCAAAATTTAAAAAAAAAAAAATCAGTTACAAAGAATTAAAAGTCACCTTAATTTTTTTTCTAATAATCCAAATTTTTATAAGAATTCCTCCATATACTATGTTGTTTGAACTGCTCTCACCCCATAATGGCAGGGCAGGTTCTATACCTTAATGTGATGGATTGATGATTTGGACATATTACATATAAAGTATCCCCCAGCTGCTTTGCTTGACTATAGATGAACTGACCCCAACCCTAAAATACCTATGTCCCCCTTTTCAAAGAGAAAGGTTCCAGTGGCAAGTGATGCAGAATGATGGCAGCATAGAAAGAATTGTTATAGGTGGTGAGTCGGAGAGAAGAGAGAATAAAATGTTAGAATTTGGGGTCAACTAACTCTAAAGTGAGATTTGCACATCCACTATATATATATATATATATATATATATATATATATATTACTTTTGCTATATCAAGTCAATTTGAGACTAATGAATCACCCTGACTACAATTAATGCAACCCTCAAAGTGGCTGTAACTAAGATAGGATAGGAGGCTCTGGAATTGATACAACTAACAGTATAGATATTGAAAATTGAATTATCTCCCCATTACTAGAGGAAACAAAAAAGAGCAATTGTACAGAGAGAAAAAAAGAAAACAGTTCCGAAATAAGATGAGATAGAGGAAAACACTCAAAATTTAAGTACCTCAGTTGGATCAATAACAAGTCCATTCATCAACAGAGAACAATCAGTTTTAGACAAACCAAGCTTAAATGCAAGCATAGAGCTTTCTTGTGACAATTTCTTCAACTCTGGCTCGTTCTCCAGCTTTACTAATATCTCTTGTGGAGGGGATTTTACCTTTGGCCTATCAAAGAATAGTGGGAACAATACCATAGATATAAACAAGGAATGTCACCAAAAACAGTAGTAGAAGCACCATATTAGAGAAACATCAGAAGTACAGTAATCAATAGAAAAGTCCAGCAAAACTCACAATATTGTTTCAACAAATGCCCCTTCAACATGGTGCTGCTCAAGATGACCATCATCTGATTCAGTGCGTAATTTGTTAACCTACAAAACAAACATTTATGATAATGTTCTTTCAGTTTAATTGCAAACATATTAGTTCTAGATAACTCAAAATAATATGAAAAAGGTATTGACAAAAAACATATATACAAATGATGCAGTCATGTCATTTTATCCATTTTACAAAAAGTTTGTTAAACTGAAACCTTGGAGACAAAATAGGTATATATTGTATGAAAGCATTAGGATTATCTTGTTTTCTATGTTGATGGAGAGAGAGTGAAACCACTTACGAGTAAATGAAATACCCAGACACTAGACCCATGATCTCTATATTTTAAATCCTTGAAGTTATTACAAACTAATCATACAGAAAAAATAAAATACACAGCTACAGAAATGAAAAAAAAATTATGTGAAGAACAAGGGTGTCAATTCGAAATTTTGGATCAGATGAAGAAACTTGGGAGATCCAAAAGTCTGAACTTAGAAAGGCAATTGCAAGATTGGTGGATTAGTACATGTACAACATATAACTGCATCCTTCAGTTTTCTCATCATATGTACTCTTCTGGATTTCAATCATGTTGGCATGTAAATAATTTAATTGAAAATAAACAGTAAACATAAGATAACTAACACAGAAGACAAAATCATACATTGCTTAAAAACTCAAAAGCTAATTGAGTGTTGTGATTCCCCTTGATATAGCTGAAGAGACGTATAATCTGAAAAGTGGAACAGCAAACATAATGCATCACTAACTTGAGAGTAAAATTTCCTGAAAGACGAGCTTTGTGATGTTGTGTACATTTCCGAACAATTAAAGGTTCATATTACCATATCAGATATGTCCTCAAATTTATCTCGATCCTCTTTGGCAGAATAGTTCTCTAACTGCAAGATGTATTTTGAAGAATACAGCACAATCCCAAATCTCACAGGAAAATCACTTTCATACAATGATATGATCATATCAATTGACTGCAAAGTACCCAATTATAAAACACGGAATGAGAGATTTCTCTTGGAAACAGAACAGTGTGAAAGTGTTAAGCTTTAGAAAATAAACTTACCTCAAGACCACAAGTGGTTCCTGGGTCAAGAACAAAAACAGCATGGAAAAGATTTTTACGGATGTGACGCAACTGCCCAGGGAAGACCGGCATCAAAATCTAAAAAACAAGAAAAGATTATGTTCCAGTGAAAATTTTTAGCAGGGTTAATCTGAAATTAATAGTATTATCCAGTTTTAAAAATCAAGTAGTTAACCTCATTTAGATTGCTCCTCCACCTTTTGTACTTGGCATCTTCTTCCAAGTTGTTGAGATAATGTACTTGAGTAGTACGAAAATCAACACGAAACATACTCGACTCTGAAGGAGGTAAAGTTGACAGCAGTTTCCGCACTACGCTGGAAGGTATCTGCAATTACTGGGATCATAATTACAATCTAAATATATGGTAAACATCAATCAAGAGCAAAGTATCTAAGTCAATTTCTCACAAAAGATACACGTAGTTTTAAAGATAAATAGTGAACACAAATATGTAACAGTTAAAATTTTATTAATCAGGCAGCCAATTTTATCAACTAGAGCATTGTCATTAACTACTTTGTTCACTTGTTACAAACTTTTTTCCCAACTCCTTGGTGGCAATTGTTGATAGATGAAATGACATTGTATTTCTGATGATACCCATAAAGACAAAATTACTAAGGTAGGTATGAGGGGGGGCGGGCAAAAGATGCTATGCACCAGATCATGCCCAAGATAAACAAAAGAAGGAACTCCACTTAGCAACATACTACCTAGTTGGAAGCAGAGGGGAGGGACATATGAGTCTGAATAAGGGAAGGGTACAAGCCTGGAAGGGGGATTGGGTGATACAGGCTGAAATTATTTGAGGTTTATGAGAGGATAGGCACTCTTGAATTGCTTAGAAGAGACATTTACATTATTCACATGTTCTCTTGTGTATACAGTCTCACACCCTGATATCAGTTAATATGATATACTAGTCTGTCGTTTACACTCTCTCTTCTCTGGTACCTATCATATTTTCTTTTTCATACTATTTAAAAAACTAAGCAAAGTTCAAGTATTAGAAAGCAATACAACAGACAAAATTTCATGTGTCCATATTAATAACAGTGTCAGTAAACGAGTTAGCTAGAAATCAGTCCAATACTAAAAAGTGGCCAAGATAAAGATTTAATGTGATGCACCTTCAATTTTGAGAACTGATCAGCCAACAACAGATCCTGATGAACCAAGTCAATCAACCTAAATAAAGATAAATGAATAGAATATCAAAAGTTTGAAATTTTTATCTAACTTCTAAGTTTAAGACATCATGTAAGTTTGAAACAAACTACAGAAAACCACAATTATGCTTGTTTGTTGATATCAAGATTAACATGATTAATTATGAACTCCATATGCCAAGTAGGTATTATTTTAGTGCAGTTTTATATGCATAAACTTCTCAATAGTCATTTGTCCACTTTTACAATCAAATGACTGGGATAATCTGTCTGGAAAAATGTTTTATTGTCAGGCACCAAAAATCAATTAAGAACAAAATAGGAAGGACACTGAGAAGTGACTCAAAACAGAGAAAAATCTTATGTTGTAATTAATTATAGAGGAAAAATTGAGAAACAATATGAATGCAGCAGAGCCCCCAACCAGAATGGCAAATTGGAAAACAACTTGAACTCCTTTTCCTGAGGAAGATTTTCTCCTCCCAGTGTAGTCAATAACTCCTCCTCTCTGCTCTCTCTTTTGCCCAGTAATATTAGATTAACAAGTGATTGTGACATTGTCGTTAACTACATAGAATGGTCTTTGTTTGGAGCGTTTTTTATTTACCAAAGAATAAGTGTGACATCATCCCAATGGCTCTCATAAGGGACATTCAAATACTACCTCACCATGCTAACTACAATGGTGATGTCAGGTAGGGGGTCATTAACATTGTACTAGGGCTTAAATTATTTGAAGAAAATAATTCTTTTTTAAAATGTTCTCACTTTAGAAACTTATATGTTCAATGAATTTGTGTATGATCTGGTCATTTATGTAGTTGGATCAAATCTAGTAAAGATGTAATCACATTTTATTTTTGTGGTTTGTTACTTTACTTTATTATGTAGTTGAAATGCAGAATTATTAATGTTAAGGGTATTCTGCATATATATCATTAAGAGGTGTTTTCAATATTATCTTTCTATTAGGCGAATGTTTACTAGTTTGAGTCAAGTCTATGGGAGTTCATATATAGACTCTAGAGATTGACAAGCATTGATAAGAATTCTCACCAAATAGTAATTTGGAGGGTTCAGCAATGTAAAATATGCACAATCCAATAGGCACAACCACATGCTCACAACAATCTCAACAGCTTCGAAAAATCAGTTTTTATTAATCAGGGCTCAAAAAAGCACAACCAAATAGTTGCCTAGAACCCAAAAAATAACTCTGAAATAATAATTAGTTGATTAAAGAATATACAAGTGCAGAAAAGAATGGCATTTGGCCTCAATAACTAGCCATATAAATTGAGGAATTCCAATAGATAACTAAGCTACCTTAGATAGGCTCAATCAGAATAAACATAAATGGACCTAGAGCTAAAACTCGCAAGCTTTATTCTTCAAAGCAAAAGAACCATCAGAATGCAATAGCAATTTTTTCATATGAATATATTATGGAGAAACAGTAAACCCGGGCTACAACAAAGTTGCAAGCATGAAATACCAACAATAAATAATATCACAGCCTTATATTATGAATGGTATCAGCAGGAGAAAAAAAACATTACAGATAAAGGTCAACATCTTCAACATTGACTAAAGCACCATTGATAGCCATTAAAGACTTGCCAGGTGGGATCATCCGCTGATTTGCCGTTATTTCATCTTGAACAGAATCATCAAGCTGTTGCACATCACAATTCCACAAACAATAAACAATTACTTGGGAGGAAACAGACCTATGTTTAAGCATTCTACAAAAGTGAAAAGGTTATTTACTTTCATGCGAGACAACGAAGAAACTATGTTAGGGAAATTTTGATTGATATCCTGCATTGACTGTAGAGGATCAGAGGCACGGACTATTCTCTGTACAGTTTGATGCCCCAGATCTGTTATCATTAAAATATATATTACTGCACAGTACATTAAACCTAACTAAAATGAAAATATATTATCAACAAATTTCAATTTTCACAAAAGGAAAAGGTCACAGCAATACCTTTCAGTTCCCAAACATCAAGTGTATCTGATACAGTTGATGACAATAGATAATCCCTAAAAGTCATGATCTCATTCGTTAACTCAGGCTTACGCTCCTGTACATAATACAAACAGTTAAATTCATATGCACAAAAAACAAAATTTTAAATTTGTACGTCAATCCATTGATATTAGACATATTTAATAGAAAATATCATCATCACTTATCAAAAAAATGTAGAACCAAAGTAACATTATGTACCCTGAATAAGAAAGCAGGAATAATAAAGCATAATAATTGAGAGGAAGCTAAAAATGTCTTAAAATTAAAATAGCTAGCATGACATGAATGGTTAGAGCATATTAGCATGTCTGGGCAAACTATCAATTCTAGACAAGCCATCCCAAGTCTAAACTATTAGGTTAACAGTAGTGGTCAGCATAGTTTCATAATGAAAATAAACTAGCACAAGGCATTTTTCCAATTTATTCTCCAGACTCCAGTGTGATGCAGTTGTCATGCATCCGGTATATTCCGGTTATGCTTCTGTTGTTATCTTTTTCACTTCTTCATTCCTTTTATCTCATTTCTTTTTCTGGACCCTGCAAAGGCTACAATGTAAACATCTAATGTACTAAAGGTTATCCTTGGACACTTACAACAACAACAAAAGCCTTATGCCACAAAGTGAGGTTCACTAAATAGATCCCATGATAATAACAGAAGCATATAGTGGTTATAAACCACTTTGTCTGGTTAATTTTCGTCAAACTAAATGTAACAGGAGAATGGACATATAGGTATGTTGCACTATAGAATCTGGCACCTACAGACATTTCTTTGTAATTTAATTTGATACAAAAAACAAAATTAATTGATAGTGCCTAAAAATATGATTTTAATAGCCATTGATTACAACATAACCTGTTGACATTGTAATTAACTTCAAAATTTAGTATATATGTCTTTGATTTTATCGCAATTATTAACCTTAAATTAAGGATTATGAGTTCCCTAATGTACACCTCAATTTAAGGGAGTCAACTACAAAAAGAAATATAGGTGACATTTTACCAACCAGAATTTTAGAGAATATAAATCCTCTGACTTCTTGGCTGAGATCATCGGTGCGAGGATCCTCCAAAGTCACCCCTGCAACACACAACAGAATCAATAAGGGAACTAGAAAAGCAACCTATTACTGTGATTATAGAAAAATTCCTTCACCATTTTATTTGGATGAACAGTGCATGATCAAGACCAAAGAATTTGTAAATCTTGAATTAATTAAAATTAGGAAATATTTCTTTCAATTATCTGCTTCAAATATCAAAAATGAAATTTCACAGGATTATCAAACTTGAAAGACCAAAGCCAGAACAACAGGGGTAGAAGTTGAGAATTAGGACATATTAACCTACAACATGAACCAAAATTACATGCAAAGGAAAGTGAGTTAGAAGAGATAGAAGTTCCAATAAGGAGATTAACTAAAAAAATTACCAAGCTCTACAAATGATAACATTGAAATGATACACAGACATCAAAAGAAGAAATGATGTCTAGTGTCTGTAATAACATGACACTTCTAAAATTATGACCTAAGTCAAAAATGAAAAGGAGAATGAAGCAGCTAAAATTCAATGTCACCTATATTCTAAAAGAAACTTGAGTCTACTGTCAAAATTCAAAACCTTAAGTAGTTCCAACCTTTTTTAATTGTACTGTCGTCCATGGCCTTATATTCCATATTCTTAAAAACAAGTTCCACTCCATAACCACCCAAGTTTACTGACTCGCTTGCACCAATAGATCCACAGTGGCCAAAATTTGTTTCACATCCACCCGGCAACACTGGTCTCAATATATAATTAACTTTTCCCTGAGAAGACGTGGGCAACATGTCAAAATTTGCAAGGGAACAACAAATGAACAGAAAGATTACAAGATTGTATTCTGAAAATTCAGAAAAGTCAAGCCCTTTTGCTAAAATGTTTTCATAACGGTAAATGCACAGTTATGTTATACATCCCTTTTGCTAAAATGTTTTCATACAACAAGACAGTAATTACATAATGTAATACAATATTCATTAGGAACTGAAAGCTAAGAAAACGACCTCTTTAGCAGCTCCAACCAGAGCAGTATGAAACTCCTTAAAGCAAACAGTCCCGAGTGCGCCATAAAGTATAGCAACCGGACTCCCAACACTCGAATCAAAATGAACATGATCAAAATCAAACACTTGCGGTTCCTGAATCGAACCACCCACCCTGACCATAAAAAAAAACCCAACTCAGAGCAAGATATTAACCAAGAACACAACTTCAAGAACTGAACAAAACAAAAGAGAACATGAGCAGTGGCATTGAACTCACTGTTTCCGAGGGGTTTGAAGCCACGTGAGCAATTCAGAAACATCAAAAAACAGAGTGTCACCAGTGTCGACCCAACAACACTTCCCTCCGGGACTTTGGAGACTTGCCCCAAGATTCAAGGCGTCTACTTCAGTGATTTCAGCGTGGCTGTGAGACGAAAGAGAATCCTGAGCTAACTGGCGGTAAAGCACGAGAGAAGGGGAGGCTGATCTCAGAATAAGAGAGAACTCAAACAAGGACGCCAATGGCTCTCTCAAAAGAGGGCGCGAATGTTGTAGAATTTTGTTGACACAACTTTTGGCGGAATGAGAATGGGCGTCGCCGTGATCGGCGTGGAGCCATGCGTGGATGAAGTTCCAGAAAAGCCCCGGCTCCTCTTTGGACAACAACTCGCTGCCAATGAAAAAAAGAACGCAAAAAGATTGGTACGGTGAGATTAAAGAAAAAGAACAGCGAGAATCGAAATGGAACTGAAAACGAGAATCGAAATGGAACTGAAAACGAAAATCGAAATGGAACTGAAAACGAAATCGAAGGAAGAAGAAGGTACCCAGCTTCGAGAAGAAGAGGAGTGCCAAACCACTTAGCGCGAACAGCAGCTTGAACATTCTTGGGGGTTGAAGTGTGAGCGGAGACAATTCCGATAAGGAAAATGGGAATGAGAAGAAAAGACGCAGATCTGAGAGCCATTAGCCTCCGTTAGGGTTTGGACATCAAGACACAGTGAGAAGAAGCGAATGAGATCACAACGTTTTCTTTGTCTCGTGTTTTGTGGAAGACACGGTCAGTCAAAGAAACCACTTCTTCCACTCCAACCTTCTTCTTCTCCGTCTTTCAAAACATACCACACAACACGTGCAAATTACAATGGTTTTTTCCTCTTTTTCACCCTTTATAGTGTTCCTCCGCTGTTATAACTGTTTGGTAAAAATTTATAATTTACTTCTGCATTTAATTTTCTAACTTATTTTGAATTACGAATTAAAATCATACTATTTTGCATTTAATAATAAAGAAAACGCTGTATATGACCTGTCTTGAAGAGAAATTGTAATTTTCATTAAAAACAACTATATATATATATATATATATATATATATATATGTTTATGTATGTATAATCTTTAAAAGATATATATAATTCTTTGTATTTTTCATATATTTAGCTTATAATTAAAATAATAATTCTTTGTTTTATATATTTTTTTCATTTTTAATTTTATCTTTTTGTAATTTTTAAATACGTTTATTTAATAAATTATTAGAAAGAAACTTATATTAATATTAATTATTTTCTATACTTTTTTTATTTATTTTTTTAATTATTTACGATTTCTAATTATTTGATTACTTAATAAAGTTAGATTTAGAAAAATATATTTTATTTTTATTTTTTAAAATAATATTATTTAAAAATCAATATATATTTAGTAATAACATAAATTGTTTATAATGTTTATACTGTGAAAAATTATCTTTCATATTAAATATTTTTTTAATCAACTTAAATCACTGTTATATAAAAAAAAGTTATCTGAAAATATTTTTACTAACTCATATGATAGGTATTCCTAAAAAATATTTTAAAAATTAATTAATTTTTAAAATAAATAAGAAACTATTTATAATTTTTGTTTTGAGATACATTTTAGTTATAATTAAAGTTTTTATTTAATATATTTATTTTTAAATAATAATTTTTATTCAAAATATTAATAACTTTTTAATATTTTAATACATTAATTATACAAGTCCAAACATATAATATTTATGAGTTTAAAAAAATATTGAATGGTGTATTTATTAAACAAGCTTAATATATATATATATATATATATATATATATATATATAATTTCTAGACAAATATAAGAATAAAATATTAAATAAATTATTTTACACATTAATTATATAAATTTAAGAATATTTATTAAATTAATATGTTTATACATTAATTAAATATTTCTAACAACAACATTAAACATGTAATAAGATTAACAACATTTTCATATATGGTCATTATTTTTCAACAAAATCATCATTTAATTAAATAATTCTAACAATAAACATTAAACATGTAACAAGATTAATAATATTTTCATAAATGGCCATTACTTGTCAACAAAATCATCACTTAATTAAATAATTGTAACAACAAACATTAAAAATGTAACAAGATTAACAATATTTTCATAAATGACATTATTCTTCAACAAAATCATCACTTAAATAAATAATTCTAACAACAAACATTAAACATGTAACAAAATTAACAATATTCTCAGTCATTGTTCTTCAACAAAACCATCACCTTCACCATGAATCAATCCATCCAAAACTATCACAGCATATCCTTGGGCAGCTACTTTTGGCATATTAGGTAATGTTCATCATCTTTGTCTTTCATCACTTTCTTTAATGTCTTTCTTCCCTTTTCCTTGTATCTTGCTTTCTTACACCATGTTCTTTAAGTAAATGTTCCTCTGCTTGAGCTACCTATTCCAACTTTTTCTGCCTTCTAATGCACTTACAATTCTCATCATACAATTTTAGTTCATGTTCTTTTATGTTCCCTAATTTCTGACTAAAAATTCTTAATATTTTCTTTCTGGAAACAACGAATAATTCCCTGACCCCACTGCTAAAATGATAATTGAGTTATCAGTTCATCACAGATTCATTCTCACAAATTTTTTGCTAAGAATACCATAATCCGCAATACAATCATATATGTACTCTGATAAATATAAACTAGATGGTTGCAAAGTAAAAAAAAGAAGATTAAAATAAACTAAATTCTTAATTGCACCATTCATGTTTCCTATAGCTGTTTTCCTTTTTTTTAGTAACTTAGATAATCTCATTTTTATATTTTATTGTAAAAATACGATCTTACATTCTTTAAAGCAATCCTTCCATGTGTATTTATTTATTTATTGGGAACATGGAGGAGCTAAACTAATACCATGAAAGATACATAATGGAACAACTATACATTAAACTGATAGATATATTTAATGAGAATCAAAACCTTGTTTTATTTATACCTAATTTAAAAACATTTATGTTTGCCCCATGACACTTGTTATTTGTTTTATATCACAACATCATGTGAAAATGTAAACTAAATAAAAAATAATGTTGTCCACATCTGGAAGAGGAACTATGAAAAATATAAAACCCGGTTTGGTTTGATTCCAATGTTTTTATGAGCATAAAAAAAATTCAAAACCTTGTATATATTTTGTACAGAATTTTTCCAAGATCTGCAGAGTTATCCAAAGTGTTCATATACAAAATCTGTTTTTACAGGGGAAGAAGAGCAAAAATAAAATGCTCTTGCTCTGTCTAATAGCCTGCATATGAAAAAAAAAATGCTAGATTCTGGACTTGCAAATCCTTTTGAAGAACTTAGCCCTCGTTAATGGACCTGTTTTAAACAGAGGAAAATGATAATTATGTACATAAATCTAAGATAAGGTAGCATAGAAAAATTAACTCAGAGAGACTTGGCCGAGGAACACAGAAATTGAGAAAACAATCCAACATCACTTTATCTTGTAAGAACCAACTATGATCCTGCCAACTTAACATTTTTCTTTATATACAAGAGTTTTCATTTGTGACTTTTGTTGCACAAGAAAATTGAGAAGAGAAAAATGCAGACTTCATTTTACAAGACATTTTTCATATGTTCTAAGTTCCTACAATACACCAATTCTCTGCTATTTAAATAAGCCTTAGCTTCCTTGGTAGCTGATATAACGATGATCTGCTAACTGCTAAGTTTCTGCATAGTTGGCATAGAATTTGTCGAGGCACTCATCAGTTTTCTCAAGAGCAGTGTTATTTGTACCTTGATGACACTCATCAGTTTATTATGTGATGTTCCAAACATGATTTGACTGGACCCTTTGGCACGCCTTAGAATGGAAGCAGCTTCCACTTTTTTCTTTCTACATTTTAAGCAATATAAAGGAACATCTTGATTACCTGAGCATGTCACCAGTTTGCAACTTGAGGCCACTTAATGCTGGAGATATGCTAAAAGTACTGGCATCATTGTAAAAGGCAGGGTGGCCAAGAGGCATAGGGCGATCTGGGATTTGTGGAACCTCAATGTCACCTTCCAACATCTTCAAAGCATCAGAAATTGTTGGTCTCAAAGCAACCATGACATGGGAGCATAGAATCCCCACCAGCAAAAACCTCTCCATTATGCTCTTAGGATTTGAGCTAGGAAAGTTCTCATCCTTCACCAGGGAACTATCTAGAGCCTCTTCTAACTTCCCAGCCTTTACCAGTGACCAGGCCCAATCTGTGATCAAGAATGCCCTTGGTGATCCTGATGATGACAAGTCAAGAGCCTTTCTCCCACACATAATCTCCAGAACAACTACACCAAAACTATACACATCACTCTTCTCAGTGAGCTGACCATAGAGTGCATATTCTGGAGCTAGATATCCATGAGTTCCAGCCACTCTGGTTGTCAGATGAGACTGACCCTCTCGGCTTTGTTTGGCAAGACCAAAATCAGCGACTCTTGCCCTCATATCCGCATCAAGTAGAATATTGGTGGCTTTGATATCCCTATGCAAAATTATAGGTTGAACTCCATACTGCAAATAGGCCAACCCCTTTGCCACATCCAAGATTATGCTTTTCCTCTCAGGCCATGTCAATGATCCCTTTGCTTTCGGAGAGTCTGATGACACAAACAGATGGTCCTCCAGGTTTCCATTTGGCATGTAATCATACACAAGATACCTTTGGCTTCCCCTTTCATCATAATTCTCACTCTCCTCAGCCACACAACAGCCTCTCAGAGGCACCAGATTGCGATGCTTCAGGTTGCTAATAATCTCCACCTCATTACAGAACTCCACATCTCCTTGAAAATCAGATTCCAAGATCCTTTTAACCGCCACCACAGTCCCATTAGACAAGGTTCCCTCGTAAACCAACCCAAACCCACCACGGCCAATGAAGTTCTTCGATGAAAAATTATCAGTGGCTTTCTCAAGCTCCCCAATTTTGAACCAAATGGACCCCGTATTAGGCCTCAATCTACGCCTAGACCCTTGTTCCTCAGGGTCAAAATCAAACTGAAAAGTCTCAAGCTTTTTCCTCCTGTGCTTCCTGTCGCACCACACATAAAGCCCCAACAGAGAAGACATCACCAGCAAAGCCACCCCAGCTCCCGTCAACCCAAAAACAAGAGCCTGGTGACTCTTTCCCCCAGAACCCCCCCTTGAATAAACAGGCATGCTAAAAATACAAGTCACGGCACCATTGCTTTCCGGTCCAAACTCGTTCACAATCCCAGCAGCATAGAGTATTGTAAAGTAAAAACAATCCATGGAGTGAGAAGTGTTACCATCTATGGAAATAAGCTCCTGCTTGACCTGTAACCCAGCTCCCACACACAAATCACAGAGGGGGAGATCGGTGAGATCCGGTTTGCAAGCAGTGTTGAGTGCTGTGGACTGACCAAGCTTTTTGGTCCAATCAGAGATTGTCTGAATCCCAGCACAGATGTTGGGAGAGATCACAAACTGAAGAGGGTCAAAGCAGGAGTCTACAAGGTTGTCGGGGAGAGAGAGGGAAGAGATCTTCGATTGGAAGTCTTGGATGCATGAAACTGAGGTGGCAAGGTTGGGGAGTTGGAACTGAGAAGTCTCTTTGAGATGCTGCGCAAGTCCTACGCCAAAGAGGGACAACAGTGATATGCAACAAGTGTTTGCATCTGTTCCATTTCTTGTTGCCAAATTCCGTTGGAAGTTGTGGCAAACAGAATTGTTCCATGGGATTCTCAGAACATAATTCAAGTCCATGGGGCATGTCGATGTCGGGGATGG